TAGCTCAGCGGTAAAGCCCCACCATTGATAAGGAAACAAATAAATTCAAATCCCAGTACCAAAAAATAAAAGAAGTGCAAAGCAGCAGAAGACAATCTAGCAATTTTTTTTTTTCTTTGTGACAGGGTAAGCTGGGCATGGTGGCTCATGCCTGTAAATCCCAGCATTCAGGAGGCTGAGGCAGGAGGATCACTGCGAGTTTGAGACCAGCCTAGGTTACAAAGTGAGCTCAAGGCCAGCCTGAACTGCAGAGAGAGAGACCCTGCCTCAAAAAAAAGATCAAGAGAGAGAAAGAGAGACAGAGAAAGAGAAAGAGAGAGAGAGAGAGAAAGAGAGAGAGAGAGAGAGAGAGGATCTCTATGCAGTTCAGGCTGGCTTTGAGCTCACTTTGTAACCCAGGCTGGTCTCGAACTCACAGATCCTCCTGCCAAGTGCTGAGATTATAGGCGCACACCACCACATCAGGCTTACAAAGTATTTCTTACCTGTGAGAAATATCAGGCTTTCTATTTTATTTACTTCCATAGGACTGAGAAAACAGCATGTATACTTGATTCCTACTGCCTACTGAAACAGGAAAAACATAAAATGTTACACCTCCCCAAATATATGCTCTAAACACAGTTTTTGTTTGTTTTTGAGACAGGGTCTTGCTGCCTGAACTGGAGCAAGACTCTATCTGAACTCACCAAAACTGGCTTTGAACTCCTAGACTCAAATGATCCTCTTGCCTCAGCCTCCCAACTGGCTTAAACACAGTGTTTATAGCTAGTACATATAACTGTATTTTCCAAAAAACGATGAATGCTCTCCTTGGTTCAAAACTGTAACATCCAGCGTGGTATGGTGGTTTATACATGTAATCCCAGCACTCTTGGAGGTTAAGGTAGGAAGACTCAAAGTTTGAATTCAGCCTGGGAAATTTAGGGATTTAGCCCTACCTCAAAAAAAGTTTATGTTTGTTTGTTATTGAGGCAGGGTCTCCTTATGTAGATCAGGATGGCCTTGAACTATGTAGCCCAGGCTGGCCTCAAACTCATAGTGATCCTCCTGTCTCAGTCTCCCAACGGTGGGATTACAGGCATGTATCACCATGCCCAGCCTTGAAAACATTTTTTAAGAGTAGAGGGGTTAGGGTATAGCTCAATCCAAAGGTCCTGGGTTCAAAATCTACTACAGGAAAAAAAAAGAAAGAAAGAAAAAGGGTGAAAATGTAGCTCAGTGCCAAGGCACTGGGGTTAAACCTCAGTGCTGCCAAAAATAAATAAATAAGTAAATACTAACATCTACATGGCACTTATATCTAACACTATTCTAAATGGTTTACATAATTTATGTCACATATAGGCATAAGAATCCTATAAAGATCCTGGGCAAGAAAGACAAGTCAGGGAGCATCACAATCCCTCACTTGAAATTATACCATAAAGCTACTGTGATAAAAAAAGTGTGGTACTGGCAAAAAAACAGACCCGAAGATTAATGGAACAGATTAGAAGATACAGAAACAATGCAGGTAAATTAAAACCGTGTAAATATCGTATTGTTTCATTAGTGTGACAAGCTGAAAGAAAAAACATGTATATGTGTATATTTATATAAGAAATTGTTAAGATATTTATAGTACTGATTTCTCTGAATTCATTGAAGAGAAAGCTTTGTGTTGGTATTGTTTGGATAATTAAATGCAAATGTCTTGTGCTCTGGGTGAATGATTTGGGGATGATGATGTACAATATATGTACCTTTGTTACCCCGATTGATGTGTTTTGACATTTTGTTGCAGATTTTTTCTTATTCTTTCTTTTTATCCTTGAATGAAATGGATTTGAGGAGCTGAGAATTTAGCTTAATGACACAAGCACTTGCCTGGCAAGCTTGAGGTCATAAGTTTGATTCTTGGAACCCCGAAGGGGGGGAAAAATAGATTTGAAAAAAGTAAAAAATTAAAATAAAACAATTTAACTAGCAAAAAAAAAAAAAAGCCTATGGATATGTACTATGGATATGTATTTAAAAATTAAATAGAACAATTTAACCAGCAAAAAAAAAAAAAAAAAAAAGAATCCTATAGGTACTACTACTATTCTCATTTTCCAATGATAAAAATGAGGCTCATGGGGCTGGGTATTTAGCTCAGCTGCAAAGCACCTGCCTTGCAAGCGTGACGATTGTGAGTTCAATCCTTGGTACCAATTAAAAAAAAAAAAAAGAAAGAAAGAAAATGAGGCTCATAGGTAATCTAGGGGTACTTTGCCAAATATTCAGTGGCTCTTCAACTAACCAAATGAATTCTAAACAAATAAATTTATGAGAAACTTAAATATAATCATCAATTCTAATGCAAAGCTTTCATAATGAATACAAAGTTGGTTCTCCTCAATGATACATTTTCTAATTGATAAAGGGAGTAGTAAAATGTCTAACATTTGTTGTTACTGTGTTTCCAACTGCTTGTTCCCTAAATAAAACAAATTTCACCTGTCTAAACAACGCTAAAGGTATGTGTTGTTTTCAATTTTTCTTTTTTTTGTGTGTGTCTTTTTCCTTTTTATCGGTACCAGGGATCGAACTCACGACTGCCTGTTTGCAAGGCAGGCGCTTATGCCGCTGAGCTAAATCCCCCAGCCTCTGTTTTCAATTTTTCTAAATATTCTGTATCAAGCTAAATTAAGGCTTTAAGAAACAACTCTGATATGGACAAAGTGGATAAACTGATGGCTCAACTCCCAGGGTAGAGTAGCAACTTTGCAGCAGGTTGGGGGTGACTTTCTGGAAGCCACTCTCAAAATACCCTAGGTTACTTTATTCAAATCTAACCTGTTCTCAATACACCAAGGCCCAGTTCCTGTCTTTCACATGGCCAGCACACAGACTTTCCTTCGTCTTCCACCCAATCAATCTTGCCAATGGAAGTGGGTGCCACAGAATTTTAGCTTCCTTATGTCATGATGCTAATCAGAAATCTCTCAGGTTTTTCTCCCCAGCAGGATGTGGGTGTTTTTTGTCACCATCTGCTCTGAATACCCAGTATACTAAATACTGAACACAGAGACTGCAAAAATTCAGTAAGTCCTTGTTTCTCAAGGTTTTTGGGCTTCATACATGCATTTGCATTGACTCTGGCTGAGAACCACCCTCATGCATGAGTCACTCTGCCAATCAGGAAAACAGCTCTTCTACAAGTACTTGGTTCTGTTTGTCCACAAGTCTCATGGTAAAATAACCCAGCGTTCTATAGGAATGGAGGTCCTTTCATTTGGTCAAATGTAAATATACCAGAAGGGGATTACTGCCCCCTTCAATCTGAGGAAAAAAGCAGCTTTCACCATCGTACGATTTACACTTCATTATGTGACTCTATTTTAAGCACAAATGCTTTAATTCAGGTGTCACCCTAGACCTAAAGTAGTTATTATATTTACAAGTATGACCAGAGGTCATGGTGACAAAATGTAATAAAATGCTTGCTGATTCCAAATTGATTATATTTTTAGTCCTGGAGTCAGAATGAGTGATAAAATGACCATAAGGTTATGTGGTTAAACAAGTACTGCAAATTATAATTAGCTAACCACTTTCCAACATTCATTCAAAATTGTGAAATGGATTTCTTAGGTAGTGGCTTCATCATGGCTAAAGGTCTTTATGCTCTTGTGTGAGACTTATGCTCTTGCATGAGGGAATGATGATGGAAGTAAACCCATCTGATAAGAGGTGGGAATAGATACCATCTCTTCCAAGAAATGGAGGGAGGGAGGAGGAAGAGGAGACGAACATACTGAGTAGGGAATTAAGACACTATGTACAGGTTCCAAATTCCCATGATGAATGTAATCATACACACTAGGCTGAGGTAGGAGGATCAGGAACAGTTCCAGGCCAGCCTGGAGTACACAGCGAGTTCAAAGCTAGTTTGAACTCCGCATTAAGACCCTATCTTGAAAGGAAAAGAAAAAAAAGTGGAATTTGTTAGAAACCACAGGATAACTTTTGATTTATTGGAGGTCACTACTTCCTGAATCTTTCTGTAGCTTCCCTAGGACTTCGCAGTACTGCTCATGGGCCACCGAATTATTCGATATGTCATTATCAAATACAAGTATCATAAAAGACATAGCATGCAGAACTCTTAACTCGACAAATCATTAAGATTTGTGAGGAAATACTATATGCATCAAAAAGGTTGCACCATATACTGCATTGTAAAGGGTTATTCAAAGTATAATGGTGTTTCATGGAGCGTCTCAATTCCAACGCCCTGTTGCTCCTTTGTTCTGGTTAGGAAGAGATTATACCACAAAAAATCAATTTCTAGTACAAATTTACTCTGAGATTTTTGGAGTACATCCAGTTTCAATAGCGACTGCCTTATGCAGTAGGACAGTAAAAATCAATCTGTGAATTTAGGACAGCAAGTATGCTCGGTGTTGGTTGGTCGTAGTACCCTGGTTTTTTCTTAGACCCCTGACTGTCTAAGGCTCTGCAGTCACCGGATCACGGCTCTCAAATCCCTACCTTACGATCTCGCTTTATGAGTTTATTTTTCCAGTTTGTGACAAGAATTTGTGATTTCCTTACAGTTATCAGTGGTTTTAAGCCCCTGCCTAGAAACGTTACAGAAACAGATTGTTTTCTGCAAGACCCATTCAAAGTTCCTGAATTCGTTACTTGGGCTTTACTTATGAGTCAAGATGTCTCTTCATAAGGAAGATTTGTCGGATGGAAGATGCAGGGAGTTCGACGACTTTCATGGGCAGGGAGTGGATGGAGACTCCCAACTTTAGGGAAAGGACAGTCCCACAGGAGCCGCAGTCCCGCTACCGCGAGCTACAGCAGAATGGACAGGTCTTCCAGCCCTTGGTCTCCGACGCCTGAGGCTGCCCCAAGACCCCTCAATGCTAAGGCACCCCAAGTCCAGACCTCGGCGACAACTGCGGTCGGTCCCGAGGCCGGCCAAAGGCGCCGGGCCGCGTTCCCACCCGTCAAGCCCAACTCACAGCCTGTCTCCTTCTTGATCTCCTCGAGCTCTTCGTCCCGCAGTAACGTGGAGGCCCGAGACCCCATTACCGTGCCAGGAGCTCCTCCGGGAGCAGCGGTGCCAGAAGCGACGGTGGCAGGAGGGAGGGAAAGAGGAAAGAAAGGGCTAGGGGTCAAGAAGGGAAAAAGCAGCGCTTCGTTGCGGACCTGGGAGGGAACCCAGGGGCGGTGCGTGAGGGAGGCGGCTCAGAGACCAGCCAATCAGGAGCGAGGCTGCGGCCTGCGCCAGAGCAGACGTCTACCCGCGGAGCTCCAGCCCCTCACACAACCAGCCCAGCGCCAGCCCCGCCTCCGGAACCGCGGCTAGCGCCGGCCTTAAAACAGCAACGCCACTGTGGCTCTACCCATTAAAAGGGCAACTCCATTTAGGCACAGTTTTACCGCACGCTGACTGGCAGTCCGATGGCGTAGCCAAGCGGCTTGTCACAGACTCTAACACCGGAGTCCCACTCTACAGGTGGGAGAGAAACAATAAAAACACAAAACTTCGCGTGGAGAACGGTACGCTGAAGTCGTGCTCCTTCTGCTAGCTAGCGCTCTCTCCGCCTGGCCGCAGGGGTCGCTGGGGAGCCGGCCTGGGGCCCGCATGCCGATTGGCTGCTCCGGAGTTGCGTCTGGACGTTCGGCCCCGCGGGCTCGCCCTGTAGCCTGCGCGCCGCCGCACCGTTATTTGATAACCGCCACTGGGTGGCCCCGAGCGCCCGGAGATTTGCTACTAACCGAAGCTCTTCTTTCAGTTCACAGAACGCGTCCTCTGACTGAAATTAAGGTCCGGACGTCCCAAATTTCCGGGGGAGGGTTACCAAAATACGGGTGGAGAAGAGTGACAGCCCGAAAGACCGCCCCGTCGTTATTTGGAGTTTGTCTTAATAATGAGGAATTTTGCATTTTGTTACGTATTCTGACATAATCTTGATGAAAAAATTGAAAACCACGGGATTTGGTGGCGTACGACTGTAATTCCAGGATTTGGGAGGCTGAGGCAAGAGAATTGCTGCAAGTTCCAGGCCAGCCATGACAACGAAATGAGTTTTAAAAAAACAGCCTGAACTATCTAGCGAGACCCTGTCTCAAAAACAAAAAGTTGACAACCACCTGTTAAATCAGTACCCTGTCACGTGAGCCAGTATTTTTTCGGGCATTTTATAAACTTTCTTGGGCATCTTTTCAAATCAATATATTTTTCCACCTGCTATTTTGTTTCTATGAAAGTATATCTATTAGGGGCTTTTCCTGTTTTATGTCCTTCTTTGTTTTTGTTAAAAAAAAAAAAAAGCCTCCCTTTTCCCGTTGGGTTTACTTGAAGACATTAAAAAAATTTTTTTTTAATTGGTACCAGGTATTGAACTCACGACCACCTGTTTACAAGGCAGGTGCTTATGCCACTGAGCTAAATCCCCAGCCTGGATTTACTTGAACAAACTAGTTTCTCAGGCTCTAGTTATTCCTTCTCTTGTACCTTCTGGCTGTACAATGCTTTGTCTTACATTAGACCACAGACATCCTCCAGGAGGGGCATGTTTTTATTTAGGTTCCATTAGGTGACTTTGGGCAGGTGTTGTAAATCTCTAAACCCTCTGACTTTGATGTTTAGGTTGCAGTTGTTGCAGGTAATAAGTAATTGTGAAAGCATTTGATCTTAAAATAGACTTAAGGTTATAATATTAAAAAAAAGCTATGTAATGTTTCACTTTCCTAGTAGAATTAGTCTCCAGTTATTTCATCACTATATTTTACTTAAATTGCAATATTAACTGGTTGGGTTTTCCTAGTGTGGCAAAACAAGCAGCTTTTCAATTTAAAGCACAGTTAAACATTTTTCTAGGGCTCTAAGTACAAGAATATCCAAATAACAAAATTGCTTACTAAGATACTTAAAAAAGAAAGGATTAGTTTTTTAAATTACAGTAGCGCTAAAGATGTTAAAGAAAGTCTAAATGATAGTTACTTTTATGAGGAAGTAAAAATGTAACACCTCTTTGTAAATCTTGCACTGTGATTGTAATCTTCCCCAGGCAGGGTTGCTTTTCACAGCACTTCATTCCCAGCCCTTATTAATTAACTGATTTGATTTTCGTGGCATTAAACCCAGGGCCTCACAAATAACAGGCAAATATTTATCACTGAGCTATATTTCCAATGCCTTTTTTATTTTTTGAGAGACACAGTCTGGCCTTGAACCTGAGATCCTCATGCCTCAACCTCTGGAGTAGCTGGGATTACAGATGTGCACCATTGTGTCTGTCTTGTAATTTTTTAACATAAGCATGCTACATTTTCACTTCCCAAGAAGATTTGAGTGTATGGTATATGGTGGTTGATCTGTCAGGCTACACAGGATTGGTTGATGGAACCACAACAACCTAGTTCTAGGGCTGAGGTTGGGGTGGTGTGGAATACTACTTGCAGAGTAACATGGTAGGCCGGTTGGTAATGCATAAATTTATAGTTCTAAGTTACTTTTCATTTTGTTAGTAAAAGCATTGAACTCTGGAAATGTTATTAACCCAAAAGAGCCTAGATCCAGGAGCGTTTACAACCCAAACATTTTGTTTATTGCAGCATGTGTTGCCAGATATTTTTGCTGAATATCAGTTTTGTTTTCAGTGGTTTTCGTTCTTATTAAAAATGACATACGTGGACTGGGCATAGTGATGTTCACCTGTAGTCCCAGAATTCAGGAGGTTGAAGCAGTAGAATCACCCAGAGTTTAAGGACAGCATAAATTGCATATGAGACCCTGTCTCAAAAAAAAAAGACATTTACGTGTCATTAAAAAGCCTCCAAATGTTCAGCTTGTTACATTTGGCTACAGAAAGAGAGGGGATACTATACTTATTTTATAGATAAACTAAGTCTGTTTTGCCTAAAGTCTTAACTGTCTTCAGTTGGTGCTTGCAGTGGACCTTTTCTCATCAGCATTCTGAAAAGATGAAAAAACTCAATTATTTGTATTTTTATTCTTATCTTACAGATATGGGGAAAGGGACAGTAACCATATTCCCCAAATCACAGATCTTTTTATTAATTTTGAAGTGTTTGGATGTTTACAGAAGATTATTTGAAAACTGCTTTTGGAATCAAAGAACATGGATCCCAGCAGTGACTACCATTTCCTCAATCAGATTTTGTGGAGAAGAGTGAAACTCACTATAGTTTCTGGCGTCTTCGAAGGCGTGCTCCAGCATGTGGACCCTAATAAGATTGTTGTCCTGAAGAAAGGTCTTGTTCAATTTTCCTACTTTTTTGTCTCTTTTAAGAGGCTAATGACAGTGTGAGTGATGATTTTGGGCTCATGCAATTGAAAGAGTGCTATTTCTATTTTAGGGGAAAGGTTACAGGAAAATTACTGTTTTCTGTAATAGAGCAGTGTATCCGCATATGCTGGTTGGTTCTCATTTCTTTTTCTTTCTTTAATTGAGATACGGTCTTGCTATGTAGCCTGGGCTGACCTTGAAACCATAATCTTTCTGCCTCAGCCTCCTGAGTGCTGGGATTACAGTTGTGTGCCACTATACCTGGCCCATTTCTTTACTTTTACTGACTTGATAGTAGACATTTTCAGTTGGGTACTTTTGTTAAGTTCTCGACCTATGCGTCTTGAAATTAAAAGTAATTACTCTGTTAAAATTGCTCTTTGCTTCAATAGGCAAAGCACAAGGATAGTTAATTTTTCTCTTAAGGTAAGTTGCTGAGCAGTTCAGTGGCTAGAAAAGTGGTGGCTGCAGTATTACTCTCTTGCTCTGCCACTTCAGTGACCATCTTTCATGGGTCACAGGGTATTTGTTTCATTTCTGGTTTCTCAGGAGACAACTGTCCAGGTGTTGTAGCCTGCCTATAATCCTAGCATTTAGGAGGCTGAAGCAGGAGGATTACTGCAAGTTTGAAGCCAGCTGGCCTGGAGTACATAGTTTAAGATCAGCCTGACCTACATTGTGAGCTCCTGTCACAAATCAACTTTAAAAAAATGAGACAACTGAGGAACAGAGAACTGGAAGAGATGCATAAGGATACTGGGGAGGGATGCAGCCCTTCCACTTATTCCCTGGTCTACCAGCCTCCCTGCACATGGAGGTGTTCATTGCCTTGGAAGTTCAAATGTATAAAGTTTCTTTTTTTTCCAAATAAACTTTCTTGATGGGCTTAGTAGCACATGCCTGTAATCCAGCACTCAGGAGGCTGAGGCAGGAAGATTGCTAAAAGTTTAAGGCCAGCCTGAACTGCATAGGGAATCCTTGTCTCAAAATGACCTCTCCACCACCACCAAAAAAAGTTTCTACTCACCTAGAATTTTAACTTGCTGGGTAGTTGTTTTCCTTTCATGATAAATTTCTTTTTTTGGGGGGGGGTACTGAGGATTGAACTCACAACTTTGCACTTGTCAAGCAGGCACTTACACCACTGCAGCATGATAAATTTCAAGTTTACAATGGAAACAAATTATAATGGTGTTTGAAAGATTAGTTTTGCTGTTAGGCTATATTTTGAGTTAAAATAGGCTTTCATGGGCTATTGGACTGGGGACTACATCAGGCTTTTACAGTATTAATTCATTAACATGTTATTGGTTGTTGTATACCCCAAATACTATGCTTGGAACCAAGAATACAGATCAGAATAACATGGTGTCAGTCTCAGAAAACTTTGTAAGGAGACAAATGTATAGGTAAGTCTAACAGACCTTGATCATCTCTGATAGAAGTCAGGTGCTTTGGAAAGAGTCCTGCACATTTACATCTGGCAGTGCTCGGGTGAGGATGCTCCTGGAGGAGACTCCAAAAGGAATTGACAGAGAACTGTATCCTGGTACATAGGAATTCACAGTGGCAGAGAGGAAGGTTGATTTAAGCACATGATCAGTAAATTCCACCTGTACAGCAGAATCACCTGGAGCACACTTTATTTTTATTTTGGGTACCAGGGATTGAACTGACAACCTCACATTTACCAGACAAGCGGCTTGAGCCATTGAGCTAAATCCCTGGCCTCAAGAGCACACTTTAAACATTGTGCTGGCCCCTGCTTCCAGTTTCATTCTCAAGTCTGGATGGGCCTAAGTGTTTGCATTTATAGCAAATTTTCCTGTGATGCTGGGCTTTCGAGCCACATTTTACAAGGATCATTGTTTTGAGTAAAAGTGATAGAATGTCCAAATATGCAGAGACCTGGAAACTTGGCACCTTTAGAAATCTTAGATTTCCACATGAAGATGTTAAGAGAGGTGAGTCTAGAGATGTAACAGGGAACAGAGCAGAAGGACCTCACATATTTAGGGTTTGGACACTACACTGAAATCAGAGGAAGGATCTGAAAGACTCCTGAAGTGGGAAGCATGAATTTCCAGGTTGGTCACCAACAAAGCTTCATGCTCTGCCAGGACCAGACCTCTCAGCTGCTAGAGTGAACCTGGAGAGTTACTGCAATGGCTTAAACAAATGAGTTTATTTCTCATACAAAAGAAAGTGGGCTGCTGCAGTGCTCCCAGTGTCAGCAGGGGTCCCAGACTCTTCATCTTTCTCCCCCTCTTCTTAGCACATACACAAGTTTCAAAGCTGTAGGTCCTGTGACAGCTGATGGAGTTACAGGCTACAGAACAAAGAACTGGGAAGAAGAGTGCTCCTTCCAGCTAGTCCATCCCCTTGAAACCATGTCTTACCTGTCCAGCAGGCCAGCTATCTGCAGGGGGCACTGGGCCAGCTGCCCATGTGAGTAAATTGAGTAGATAAGCAGCTTGTTTGCTACAGTATTCAGCCCAAGTGAGATAGTTTGGTGTTTTTGGGTTTAAACTTTAATTACATAGATTTTATATAGTTGACAAGTGTATGATAAATACTATATTTTAAAATTTGTATGAACAGTGGTCCTGAGCTATTGCTCAAGCCGGCCTAGTGAGAGTCTCCCACCTCAGCCTCCTGTATAGCTGGAACTACAAGCGGGCACCACTGCAACAGGCAACATTAATTTTTGGTACTGGGGATCAAACTCTTGACCTTGCACTTGCCAAGCAGGCGTTTATGCCACTAAGCTAAATCCCTGCCCCCCCCCCCCTTTTTTTTGGTTTTTGAGACAGTCTTGCTGTGTAGTTAAGGCTGACTTTGAGCTCACTGTGTAGCCCATACTGTCCTCAAACTTGGAGTAACCCTCCTGTCTCAGCCTCCTAAGTACTGGATTATAGGCATGTGCCACCACTGTAAGCCTTTATTTTTAGGCTAATTATGTTAATCTGATGAGTGTATTCTCACCAGGTATGCTAGCATACCTTTGTAATCTCAGTACAGTATTTAGAAAGCTGTGGCAGGAGAACACTTAAGTTTAAGACTACTATGGACAAATTCACAGGAGCCCATCTTAAAATATATAAAGAGTTGGGAATCTAGCTCACTGCTCCCTGGGTTCAGTCCTCACTGCCAAAAACAAAACCAAAACATGTATATTCTCTTCTACTTAAATCTTCAATGTAATGAGTATTTTACTTTATTATTTATTTATTTTTTGGTACTGACAATCAAACTCAGCACTTTATATTTGCCAGACAGGTGCTTGTGCCTCCAAGCTATGTCCCTGGCCCCAATGACTGAATATTTTAAAGCAAAACATTTTAAAAACACTTTTTTTTTTAGGTTCTTTGAGACAGCTTTTTGCTATGTAGTTCAGTTTTTTTTTTTTTTTTTTTTTGGTTCTTTGAAACAGAGTCTTTCTGTGTAGTACAGGTTGGCCTCAGACTTTTCAATGTTTCTCCTGCATCATCCTTCCAAATGCTGAGATTCCAGGCATGTACTCCATGTCCACTTTTTAAACTGTTTTAATTCTTGCACTTATAATTATTTTCTCAGAAATAATTGCTACAAAGGAAATAACTAGGTAAAAGTCATAGATATTTTAAGTATTTTTTTTCCATGATCCTGGGGATCAAACCCAGGGCTTCATGCATGTTATGCAAGGACTCCACCACTTAACTACATCCTCCAGTCTAGTATTTTTTTTTTTTTGGTACCCCAGGTTGAACTCATGACCTTGCGCTTACTAAGCAGATGCTTATGCCACTAAGCTAAATCCCCAGCCCTAGTCTAGTATTTTAATTTTTTAAGAAAAAGATCTTTTTTCATGGTGGGGGTTGAGACAGGGTTTTGATACATAGTTCAAGCTGACCTCAAACTCAGAATGATCCTCCTGCCTCAGCCTCCCAAGTGCTGGGATTATAGGCATGTACCACCATCCCTGGCTTTTTGAAATTTTCTTAAACCAGGCATAATGGTATACCCCTGTAATCCCAGAACCCTGGGAGGCTGAGGCAGGAGGACTTGTAAGTTTGAGCCCAATTTGGCTTGTGTGAAGACTTGGACCCTGTCTCAGGATTTTAAAAGAATTTAGAACTGGAAATACAGTTCACTGTGAAGGTATTGGATCCAGCCCCGAATATCGTACACACACACACACACACACACACACACACACACGAATACCAGAAAGGGTTCTCCATAAGTCTTTAGGCTGGGCTTAAATTTGTAATCCTCCTGCCTCAACCTCCCAGAGTACATCACCATGCCTAGTTTTAAATGTTTTTGATGCCTATCTGTAAATAACTTTCAAAAGAATTAATAGCTTTTTAGTTTGCTACTACAGTATTTCTTCAACCTACTGGAAAATAATCCCTAGCATGATTTTTCAGGATGCTTCTAAGCCTTATCCAAAAATAAGCCCTAGTGAAAATTGTCAGCCAGATGGATACATTTAGTATGTCTGGTGCAACACACAACAGACTATTGAATTAAAAAAATATATATGTAATTAAAAATAAATATTGACATTAATACTTAAAGTATTTGTAAATTCTCAAGTGGACACCTATGTAAATAGATGAACTGGAGACTTATTGCTGAATGATCAACTGCAGTAGGTACAGAATGCAGGAGTAAGGTGCACTGGATAAAAATGGACACACTTGTGTCTGATGTAAACCTTCACAGTTCCGTATGTTGTATGTTGTAATGAACATACTTAATGCATTTGTGTGAAATAAGTGTTTTCTGAACTTTGGTGTCTGCAAGTTTTTGTTGCTTTTGTGTGGCCCATCATTCTTAAGTGTCATCATTTTTGTCACCACTCCTGTCTCTTAAGTTTTCAATTAACACTCGATTTAATGGGAAGTCTGCAAAGCCCAGTCTGTAAGAGGTCGTGACTTGGGTGCAGAATGCATGGGATAAAACCACTGACAGCTGTGCTGCCAACGCACTAGGAGCAGGCAACACAGCAGGAATCGCTCATTTAAGGAGAGCTCTGCTGCTGAACAGGAGAAATTGGGACCAAGGATTCTGCAGGAAATGGAGTTGCAAGAAATTCAAGATGAATTCAGGGTTTGGAGTGTTAAAATGATGATGTTCCAGAAGAAAATGACATGGCTGTATTTGAATAAATATGGATTGTTATACATGAACAAATTAGAGCAAGCACATGAAAAAGATAACACAAAAATAAGCCTATTGAGCCTTTCAGAGAAAAATATCAGACATGGTCTTATTTTTGGGAAAATGTAGTAGTAGTGCATGAATTACAATAAATAATATAGCATTGGATTATTTTTTCCCCTGTGCTAATTTTGGAACCCAGGCCCTTTGCCCTGAACTATATCCCCCACCCTTTTTTAAAACTGGAGACAGGGTCTCACTAAATTGCTGTATTCCCCAGGCTGGAATCAGATTTACAATCTTGCCCCAACCTCATAGAGTGCTGAGGTTGTATATGTGTACCATCCTGCCCAACTTAGCACTGGGTTCTTAAAAAGTTGTATCTTTCCTTCATTTTTTGTTCTTTTTATAGACAGAAGTAATATTTAGCTTTGCTACACCGTAAAAATATTCCTAAAAGGACCAGGGATTTAGCTCAGCGTCATAGCACCTGCCTAGCAAGTGCGAGGTCATAAATTTGATCCCCAATACCAAAAAAAAAAAAAAAAAAAAGGAAAATTCCTAAAGAGGTTGAATATATTTCTCTCTAGTTTCTTATTAATTTTATGCACTATTTGGACAAAGTAGGCAATGACATCACTATAACAGCAGCGTGAGGGAAGAATAGAAGTAAGGTATAGTAACTAGAGATGGGAGATGAGACTGGGATTATTCAGACAGTCGGGACACAGTGAAGGGATATGATCTGAACCAATTCATGGCAAATAATAGAGATAGATTCTAAAGATGAAATTTAGCAGATGAGGTAAATGACCTAGTGGTCACTAAGGTAATAAGCAAAAAACAGTGGAAAATGATTCCTGTGTTTATGACTCAGGATATTAGGTATACAGTGCTGTTCCTCACTGATAGAAATGGGAAGACAAGCAAGTGTTTGGTTGGTAAAGATGATTCAGTTTGAAAGTCTTACAGTAAGTCAGCTATTAGCTAAAAATGTGAGTAGAACTCAGAGGAATAATCCACTCAGGAGGAATAATGGTTTGAGGGACAACTTTCAGAAGGTGGATAAGATCATTCAAGGAGAAAGAAGGAAAAAGGGAGATATAACCATAGGAACCATGAAATGTAAGGGGCAAATAGATGGTAGAGACAGTAAAGGAGACTAGAAGGAGAAAATCTGGAAGCCAGCTGGGTAGGATAGCACAGAAGGCTCACAAATTCAAGTGTAACCTAGGCAACTTAATGATACTCTGTCTCAAAATTTAAAATAATAAAAAGGGCTGGGAAGGTAGCTCAGTAGTGGTACAGCACTTGCCTAGGACTTGGATTCTACCCTCAGCACTGCAAAACAAGACTGAGATCCATGTTTAAATCCCAACTGTGTTTTTACTCCTGGTAGTAGTGTGACCTTGAACTAGTAATGCATCATTTCTGATCCCCATTGCCTGTCTCATGTTCCTGGAGAACTGAACGCAAGCAAGTAGCAGGATGCCTGGCTTGGCCTAAGTGCTCAGCGTGGCAACTCTAGGTAATTAGTAAGAAGAAAACTAAGTATATAGTAATGTTTTGTAAGCCAAAAAAGAAAGGAGAGAGTAATACTGCTTAAGGTCGTGCAGGAGTCAAATGAGACAAGACTGCAGTAATTGGTTTGGATTTGATGAACAGGCAATTAGTGATCTTTAACCTCAGAATATATCCTGTGAAAATGTGAGAATGGAACTTAGTTACTTAGATTGCTGGAAGACATTTGATGATTCCTCCCATCTAGAGAAAGGACCGCATTTATAGACATACCTAAACTTCCCCTAATGCCCTTCTAGAAGAGACAGGAGTTGCACAGTTCCTGATATTTTTGAGTGTGTAACATGACATGAAGTGAGTGGATCCAGGAGTAGTCAGGTGTCTTCATTTTTTTTCTGGAACTAGATGGAGTAAAAAGGAATAGAAATACATTAAGTATTCCTTAGATGTAAGGTCTTAGAATAGCCTTAGAAGAACTGCAAATGTACCATGCTTCTACTACCCCTTTTAAAAATTTTTTCTGGAAACTTTCCAAGGTGTACTTTGTTCTTGATATTACTTATTTCAAGGCTGTAGCTTTGTAATTTACTATTGACTCTTCAGGAAAAATAATTTGGAGATTTTTATAAAAATTCATGTTTTGGCAGCTTAAAGAAATGTAGTGTTTTCTTACAATTTTAGGAAAATACAGTTTTTATTAACCAAGCAAATTGTTTTCTCTGACAGTGAAGAATGTGGAGACAGGCCAGAATATCCCAGGAGTGAAGATGTTTTTTGGACATGAGATTGTGAATGGTAAGTATTTTGTGTTTCCCAAATACTGATATTGGGGCTAAGGTAGGAGTATCACTGTGAGTTGAAGGCCAGCCTGGACTACACAGTGAGATCCTGCACAATCCTTCCTCAGTGACCCCTCTTGCACGACCTTAGGCAGTATTACTCTCTCCTTTCTTTTTTGGCTTACAAAACATTACTATATACTTAGTTTTCTTCTTACTAATTACCTAGAGTTGCCACGCTGAGCACTTAGGCCAAGCCAGGCATCCTGCTACTTGCTTGTGTTCAGTTCTCCAGGAACATGAGACAGGCAATGGGGATCAGAAATGATGCATTACTAGTTCAAGGTCACACTCACTCTGTAATTCAGGCCGGCCTTAAACTCATTATGTAGCTCAGGGTGGACTCAAACTCGTGGCAGTCCTGTCTCAGCTTGAGTGCTGGGATCATAGGCATGGTCACCTGGCTCTTGGTGTGCTTTTGCACAGTTAATGTGATCTTTGCTATTGTATGCATGCTGATAATTTGTCAAACCTTGGCTCATACTTATTAGTTTAAAATAAATACATGCAGCACTCAGGTCATCTTTTACTCCAATATGTGTAACCCCTAGGTGCATTGTTTTCTGATACTTGGCTGCTGGGGCAATTTGGTTCACATGCTGACCATGAGGGCTCTGTGTGCTAACTGCAGTATGTGTGCATTGGTTTGCCACCTCTGGGGTATATCGTGTATGTTATGTACCACCTCAAGTGAGTCAGGAAACTCCCTACAGTACAACATATTTCCAAGAAGAAACGTGGATAATCATACAAGGTGGAATAAAGTAGGACTATAAATAATTTGTTAGGTCAGGTTTTTTGTTTTTTTTTTTTGGTACAGGGATTGAACTCACAACCTTGTGCTTGCCAGGCAGGCACTGATGTCGCTGAGCTAAATCCCCGGCACATAGGTCAGGTTTTGCCCAGAAGGCTTAGATGATTTTGGTTTTCAAAACTTTTTGGATTTTGAGATTACAGGAAGCAGTGTGTTCTTATTTTTTCAGGAGTAGGTCCAGTTGTTTGATAGAGTAGTGATATAAGCTCATCTGATCGGTGCCCTTCAGACAAGTCAAAGAGGATGAGAGTAGGGGTTGCAAATAAGAATTCAAAAGCTTCTCCCTCCTGTCCATCAGGGAAGAGTAAAGATCCGTTCAGGGTGGAGGGACAGAGCAGTGGAACTCCTAGGACCTTTCAGGGCTTGACATTCCCACTCAAGGGAAGATGTGAAGGAAAGAAGAAAAGCTTCCTGTGTATAAGAGTTTCTGTAGCCTAACATGGTGGCACACACCTGTAATCCCAGTACACAGAAGGCTGAGGGAGGAGGATCACTTGATTCTAGTTCCAGGCCATCGTGGGCTACCTAGCTAGTTCAAAGCCAGCGTGAAGTACATAGTGAGAGTCTCTCACATACACAAAAAGTTCCCTCAACCCCCAGTACAAAAAAAAAAAAAAAAAGTTTCCTACTGCTAGGAAGATTGCTTTGTGAGAAAATAGAAGGGGATGCAAAATGTCACCAAATTAATGTGCCACTGAGAAATGTTCTTTGTACCCTGAACATCTTTTTATAATGTTAGAGATGGCGTAAAAGTAGAATTACTTCATTCCCCTGCTACTCTCGGATCAAACCCAAGGCCTTTCCACTGACATCCTCAGCCCTTTTATTTTTTATTTTGACACAGAGTCTCCGTAAATCACTAATTTGCTCAGAGTAGACTCAAACTTGTGATTCTCCTCTCTCAGCCTCCCACAGTGTTAGAATTACAGGCATGGCCCTCCACCACCTGGCTCTCGCAGCTTTTTTCTATCTCCCTTATTCTGTCTCTTTTTTTCCATCAACATGTCTTCATTGTACTTTTATCTTTTTCTTTTTTTTTATTTTGAAGAGAATAAAAGTGAAAGAAAAACAGAATAGAGGAAATCAAAACAAAACAATGAGTGTGATACTTGACTTCAAAACAAGATAAAAGGAAACCAACAGTGGCTACCATGATACCTATTGCTATCTTCAAAATAACTTCCTATACCATCAGGCACAATAAAATCAAACAAAACAGAACAGAACAAAACCCATCAAAACAAAACAATGAAAGCAATACAGGACTTCAAAACAAGACAGTAGGAATACAACAGTGGCTCCCATAATGCTTCTTGTTATCTTCAAAGTAGCTGCTTATACCATCAGGCATAATAAAATCAAACAAAAAAAAACCCAACAAGAAATCAAGAAAAAAAATCAAAAGAAAACAAGTAAAGCAATACAGATCTTCAAAATAAGATAATTGGAAATCAATAAGGGTTACTACTATAATGCATTTTGTTATTTTTGAAATAGCTGTCCATTAGACAAAAAAAAAAAAAAAAAGTTGTGAGCTCGATCCCTGGTAAAAAGACAAAAAAAAAAAAAAAAAAAAAAAAAAAAAAAAAAAAGAAATAGCTGTCCATGCCACCAAATATGATAAAATCAAATAAAAGAAAATGAATAAAACCAAACTAAACAGAACAATGAAAACAATAAAGGGTTTCAAAACAGGATAATAGGGACTGGGGATTTAGCTCAGCGGCATAAGCATCTGCCTTGCAAGCAGGTGGTCGTGAGTTCAATCTCTGGTACCGATAAAAAACAAAAAAACAAACAAAAAAGGATATAGATTAACAATGGCATTGCCTTCCCCCTGTAGACATCTCTTCCCCTTTCACCTTCACATCTACTGTGCATTTTGGATCCCACTAACTCCTTTAGTTTTTTATGCTAGGGAGACAACATGATGTTCACCCATGTGACTGAACCATTTCCCCTATAAGCATCTCAAGTTACATCCATTTACCTACCAGAGCCTTGAGGTTATCTTTCCATAGAGCTGAGTAGCTTTCCATTGTACAGAAATGCTGTATCTTTCTTTTCCATTCTGCAATTGATAGGCATGCTATCTGTACTTTTTTTTTCTGATTCCTTGTCACATAAAGCATTGTTTTCTCTCCTTTGACTTTCATTCTATGAATTTCCTTTTGAGTTAAATATGTTTCTTGAATAAAGCATATTGGTGGATCTTGTCTCCTGATCCACTCTACCTGTGTGTCTTTTTATTGGTGAATTGAGGCCATTTACATTAACGGTTACGGTCAACATGCCCTGGCTTATCTCTGTTGTGCTGCTTTCCTCCCATTGGCTCCCTACTTTTCCCCTCCATTAAGTTGTCTGCCCCCTCGGTGATCCCCCTCTGCTGCTTTTCCTGGAACCATGGTGTTTTTTTTTTTTTAACTCTCTCTCTAGAATGTCCTTCAGTATTTGTAAGGTTATTTTGGTGGTCATGAATTCCTTCAGTTGTTCTTTGTCATGGAAGTATCTTGTTTCTCCATTAATTTTGAAAGATGAAGGGTACATCAATCTGGGCTGGAAGTTGTTTTCTTTCAGGACTTGAAATACTTTACTCCAAGGTCTTTTTTTTTTTTGGTACCGGGGATTGAACTCATGACCTTGTGTTTGCCAGGCAGGCACTTATGCCACTGAGCTAAATCCCCAGCCCCAAAGAATTTGCATTTTGTTTCTTTTTTTTTTTTTTTTTTGTACCAGAGATTGAATTTACAACCTTGTGCTTGCCAGACAGGTGCTTATGCCACTGAGCTAAATCCCTGGTGCCAAGCTCTTCTAGGCTAGATGGTTTGTATTAAGATGTGTGTCATGATTCTGATAGGTTTTCCTTTATAGGTGATGTATTTCTTTTCCCTAACAGCTTTTAATATTCTGTTCTTGTGTTGAATTTCTAGAATCTTGATTATTATATATCTAGGTGTAGATTTATTTTGGTTATGGCTAGCTGGAGTTCTGTATGTGTCATTTATCTGTATATTACGTTCTTTCCCCATGTTTGGGAAGTTTTGTGCTATTACTTTTGTAAATAGAATTTTAATGTCATTTGTGTTGACCCCTGCTTTTTCACTGACACCTATTATTATTAAGTTATTTTGCTTTATGTCATCTTGCAGTTGTTGTTATTTTCTGGTTCCTTATTATTTTTAAGAGATTTTTCCTTTCACAATCACAAGCTGCACACCTGTCATCAAGGTCTGAAAGTCTCTGTCTCTATCTCTCTCCTTCTCTCTCCATAGAACTGGTATAAGCAACCACAGGGGCACACGGAGGAAAAAGGGTTAAGGAAACAGAGATTCCTAACCCCACAGAGGAACCAAGAAGCTGAGGACATAAAATTGGGAATCAGTACTACTGTGAATACTTTTTCTACCCTATTCATTGCTGTCTAATGAAGGCCTGTAGACTAACATTTCATTTCCAGATATTTTTTGTAATCATTGTCAAATTTGGTATATGAGAGTGGGGTGATTAATTTCTTTCTGATTGTAAACTGGTGAAAATCTTTTTTTTCCTAGTGGAACCACTGGATGAGGTGGAACAAAGGTCTGTGAGAGAGAAAACATCATCTGTTAGGTATGATGGGATAATTGTCTTCAGTTTGAGGCTTTCTCAAATGCATACATCAGGGTAGAAAGACTTAACTCTAATCCAGTAGCTTCTGGCATGCAGGTTCTGGTGCCACTGAGCTAAACCCTGGGCCCTGCCCTATCTGTCTATCCACCTCTCCATCCTCCCTTGCCCACTCTGCCCTCCTTTCTCTCCCCACCTTCTCTCTTTTTTCCCCTCCCCTCCCCTCCCCTATTCTGTCCTCTTCTCTTCTGTCTCTCTGTCTCTCTGTCTCTCTGTCTCTCTGTCTCTGTCTCTGTCTCTCTCTCTCTCTCTCTCTCTCTCTCTCTCTCTCTCTCTCTCTTTCTCTCTCTCTCTCTCTCTTTCTCTCTCTCTCTCTCTCTCCCTGCCATGGTCTTACTATGTAGTTTAGGCTGCTGGCCTCAGACTCAGTGGCAATCCTCCTCTCTCAGTCATCCGTGGATCCATCTTTAGATAGCATCTTCAGCCTCACGTCAGCAATGCATGAATAGCCACGGAGAATCACAGTCTTTAATCTTTAAATAATTAATTTTTCAGTTTTTGAGACAGCCTCATGCTTTGTAAATCAGATTGACTTTGAATTCAGTATGTAGCCAAGGCTGGCCTCAAATTCATAACAATCCTCATGCCTCAGCCTTTTGAGTGCTGGGATTGTACCACCATGCCCAGTGCAGTCTTTATGTGTTTTTTTGTTTTCTTTTTTAGACAGGGACTGCTGCATAGTTCAGGCTAATCTTGAACTCATTATATAGCCTAGGTTGGCCTCAAACTCCTAACAATATTCCTGTCCCTGCTTCCCAAGTGCTAAAGTTAAAGGTATGTACCACCATACCCATCTGACAGTCTTTACTCTAAATGTGTGGCAAATTTTTCATATGGCACCAATAACCAAGAACAAGTTCATCTGAGTGGTGTTTTTACTTGTTTGCTTTTGTTTTTTGGTAAGGATAGTCTAACTACGGAAAGAGCTAGTATAGATAAAATGAAAGATGAAGATCTAAATGTATGTGAGCCTGCCTCACCTACCCCTGAACCACCAGTTACCTCTTTGCTGAATGACCTCAAGTACAACCCACTAGGTAAGTGTGGGGACTCTGAACTTTGCAGACTGTTGTCTTCGTGGTTTAGGATTCTATGGAGTTGGGGTAACCTGAATCAAGATTCTGTATGAACAAGGCATTGTAGCACACACCTATAATCCCAGGACTCGGGAGGTTGAGGCAGGAGGATCACTGCAAGTTCAAGGACTGCTTCCAACATAGTGAGACCTGACTTTTTTTTAAGTGTTTTTTTTTTAAAGAGATAAACACATTATCTTGATCCATTTACTAGATGTGCAAATGCATATTGGGGATACCACCCCTATGGAACTGTGATAGGAGGAACTAGATGCCAAGTAATATAAATGAATAAAATATATATGACAGTACTGGAGTAACAAAGATTGAGCGGGAAAAACAGAAGGAAGATAAGATGTGGATAGGCCGTTCTACAATTTTATGATGTCTAGGACTGGCCCTGTGAAGGTGGCATGGCTGCCCTGGGAGGAGCATAAGTTCAGCTAAAGGAAGAACAAACCCCTGAGGCAGGAACTGCCAGGAAAAACAATCAAGGAAACTGGCTGGCCGATCACAGATGACTGAGTAGACTCTTGAAGGAATATGGGTCTACTCTGAAGTGAGAAGAGAAGCCATTGCAGAGCTTCTTGTTTTTGTGTTTAAAAACAACATAAACCCTTTTAACAGGCACCTGCCTGGTAAGTGCAAAGTCCTGAGTTCAACTCCTGATGCTAAAAACAACAACAAATAACAACTTTAGGCATTCTAATAGATATGTAGTAGTGTCTCTTTATAGTTTTAATTGGTATTTCCCTAATAATTAAGTCATCTTTATGTGCAAATTTGGCTTCTGAACATCTTTGATGATGTGTCTTTTAATACTTTTTGCCCATTTTTTTCCTTTTTTTGAAGTACCAGGGATTGAACCTGAGGCCTTGTACATGCTAAGCAATCACTCTGTAACTGAGTTCATCCCCAGGCTTTTTTATTTTATTTCAAGAGAGGGTCTCCCCAAGTTAACCAGGTTGGCCTCAAATTTGTGATCCTACTACCTCATCCTCCTGTGTGGCTGGGATTATGGGCATGTGGTATAGCCTGCCTGCCCTTTTTTCTGTCTTTATTTCTTTCTATCTGCATGTCTTATCTCTCTGTCTTTTTTTTTTTTCCATTGTTATTGTTTTTGTTTGAAATAGTCTTGCTATGAAGTTCAGACTGGCCTTGAACTCACTGTGTAGCCCAGGCTGGCCTTAAACTCCAGGTGATCCTTCTGCCTCAGCCTCCTGAGTGTTGGGATTGCAGGCATACCATGTAATCTCTTATTTCTTATCATGTTTTATAGTTCTTAAAATATGTCTTTCATATCTTTTGTCATATTTATCCCTAAGTGTTTCATATCTTATCCTACTATACTTTTTTTTTTTGCAATACTAGGATTTGAACCTAGGACCTTGACACTGAACTATATCCTCAAGCATTTTTAATTTTTTTTATTTTGAAACAGAGTCTTTCTAAGCTTCCAGGTTTTCCAGGCTGAGTTTCTCCTATCTGAACATTTCAGATTACTGGGAATACAAGCATGTGCCTCCACACCTGGATATAAATTACATTGTTTAACTTCAATTTTCTACTACAAGATTTTGCCTAGAGGAATAACATGATCTGACTTTTTAAATTAGATCAATCTTCTCAAGATAGTCCAAGAAAAAAATAGATCAATCTGTGTGCTGTGTGGGTATTGAAAATGAGGCAAAGGAAAGAGTACAGACACTAATGAAGAAGCTATTGGGATAATCCGGGCTCGGTGGGCACTGTGAATTGGCCCCTGGTGTTACCCATAGAACAGATAGGAAGTGTTGGAGATGGGAGCCCATGGTGTATGCTGCCGAATGCAGGTGTAAGAGAAGGGAATTCAGGATCACTTTGGGGGTTTGGGCTGAGCACTGAAAGTATGGAGTTGCTTTTAAGCTGAGATGGGAAAGACTATGCATGGGAAAGGTTTTGGGAAGCTGATTAGTTCAGTTTTGATCAATTTTAAATTCAAATAAAAGGAGAGATGTCTGAGATGAAGAAAGAAATTCAGGGGTCACTCTATAGACGATATTTAAAACTTTAAAAATAGATGAGGTCACCCAGACTGTGAGCATGGAGATGAAGGAAGAGGAGCATGGAGTGGAGTATTTGGGAAATAAAGAAGAGCTCATTACATAGCCTTTGAATTTGAGATTATCTTCCTGCATCAGCCTCCTTAGTGCTAGGAGTATAGATATGTACTATGCGCTGAGCTTAAAATTTGTTTGTTTTTGGGGAATCAAACTCATGACCTTGAGCTTGCCAGGCAAGCACTGTCCCACTGAGCTATATCCCCAGCCTCCCAATTTTTAAAAAATATTTTTTAAATTTTGGGGAGACAAGGTCTCACTCTGTAGTGCAGGCTGACCTCGAACTCATGGTGATCTTCCTCTTGCCTCAGTCTACTAAATGCTGGGATTATAGGCAAATGTCATCATGCCCAGCTTCAGAATAAAATTTAAAAAGGAGTTAGGGGGGGCTGGGGATTTAGCTCAATGGCATAAGCGCCTGCCTTGCAAGCAGGGAGTCGTGAGTTCGATCCCTGGTACTGATCTTAAAAAAAAAAAAGTCAGGGATAAAATGACAAGCGTAAGATCCTGGATTCAATCCCCAGTACCAAGAGAAGAGCAAGAAGGAGAAGGAGGAGGAGGAGAAAGGAGGAGCTCTGTATTGTATATCCAATTTTTTTTTGTGCTGGGAATTGAACTCAGGGTCTTATGCTTACCAGACATTCATGTAGTGTCTCTGAGCTACATCCCCTGCCCTATATATATCCGATGTTTAAAATTATGTAATTTTAAAAAATTAACCATGACCCCCAGAAAACTTTACTTTTATTTATTTATTTTAAAGATAGTAAAATACAACAAAACAATACAGAACAAAGCCAGTCAAGACAATGCAGTGAAATTGGTACAGAACTTCACAGCAGGATACCAGGATAACAGTAATTGGTACCATAGTGTATCTTGTTATCTTCACAATAGTTTCCATTCAGTCAGGTATAGAAAAATCAAACCAAGAACAGAACACTGTAAAACCAATCAAAAGAGAATATTGAGGGCCAGGGATTTAGCTCAGTGGCATAAGCATCTGCCTTGGAAATGCAGTCATGAGTTCGATCTCTAGTACCAAAAATAAAGAGTGAATATTAAATAGAGCAAAACATTTAATCACAACAAAGCAAAACAGTGAAAGCAATATTGGTCTTCAAAAACAAAATAGAAGGAAATTGTAATGCATACTGTCATCCTCCCAAGAGATGCTCAGACCTCTGACCACAGGTCAGCATAATCAACCAGACAATGCAAGTGGTTAGTTGCTTTATGTACCTTAGTTGCTATCAACTCTGGGTGACCTCCAAACCATCCAATTGCTAAAGTGGGGTAGGAGACACAGACACGTTTGATTCTGGGCTGTGTGCCAGTAGGCTCATGGGAGACACTAACTTATTCTCTCCCTGGCGCACCTGCGGCTCGTGTCACTTATCACGTGTCACTTTCTTGGATGGTCCCCCAAGTTCCAACATGGTTGATTCTCAGGAGACGCTGACTTGTTCTCTCCCTGGCACCACATCCCCCAGAAGACTTTAAAAGCACAGGCATTTGCCTATCTACAGGACTCCTTTATTTTGTTGGTTTTTTGGAGACAAAGTCTCAATGTATAGTCCAAGATGGCTTTAAAAACTCACTTTGTGACCGCATTTGGCCTTGAACTTGTGGCAATCCTCCTGTCTCAGCCTCCTGAGTGGTGGAATTACAGGTGGGTACCACTGTGCCTGGCAATTTATTTTAAACTGTTACTTGAATTATACTGTTACTTTTGAATACATTACTTGAGATGTTCAAGACATAAACCTATGAGGAGGGAAACTACTGTTTTATCGCAGGAAATGAGCAGACATTTGTAAGGTTATTGTTGGTGGGGCCCCTGTTTAATTCTCAACTGACAAACAGAATGGTAATTAGTATTCACTCTGAGAGAGACCAGCATAGGTGGTAAGGAAAGAATTTGTGACATTAGACTTGCAATAGAATTGAAATTTATGAGTATGGCTCAAATTAGTGGGCAGGCTCTTCTACTGCCAAATAAGATAAACATATTTAATGCTATCCTTTTCTTACAGAAGAGGAGGAGGTGACATATGCAGTCATTGATCAGTTCCAGCAGAAGTTTGGTGCTGCAGTAAGTATTTTCCTCTGTCCCTGCCAACTTGTCTCTTTTAAGTGCCATGTCTATGTCTTATCATTTTTATTATAAGATCTTTGATGCCTTCCTCATTAACAAAATATTTTGGTTGCTTGCTATATGCTAACCATTTTTCCGAGATCTGGGGTAAAACAATAATCAAGGCAAAGTTCTAGGTTTCTAATGTAAGATAATAAACAATTGTTTATCAACTAGCAGTAACTACTATTAAGGTATACATAATGAGTGACAGGGAGGCTCTATTTTATATGAGATGGACAGAGGAAATTTCTCTGCAGAGTTAACGCTGGAACAGGGCTTTGAAGAATGTAGGAGAGCTACTATAGCTATGTGCATCTAGATGAAGAATTTAAGGCAGAATTAGCAGGTGCAAGGGATGTGAGGCTAAAGCATTCTGGACTTGTGTGGAAGAGCATCAGGAAAACTGACATGACAGCACTTCAGTAAAGAAGAGAGGTAGGAAGCCAGGTGTGGTAGCAAACAATTGTAATCCTAGCATTCAAGAGGCTGACACAGGAGGATGACAGGGAGTTCAAGGCCAACCTGAACTACACAATGAGACACTGTCTCAAACCAGAAAAAAGGAAAAAATAGAAATACTGTGTAGTTTTTGTTGTACCACAAAAATGAGTCCCCGAGATATTGTTCAAAAAAACGGGGCAAGACATCTTTAAAAAGAAGCACTTTATTTTAGCTGGTACCCAGCGACACAACCTGCGTTGGAATCTGCAGAGCTATGTAACCAGGTTAGGTTACAGGGGGTTTTAAAAAGGAGAAACTTCAAAGAAAAGGGGAGGGAGCTTATACAAAAAGTGAGTTAATCTCTGCAAAATGTTTTACAACCAGGGCCAGTTGGTCCTGGGACTGAGTGTTTTATAATTAGGGGTTAGCAAATGTTTTACAACCTAAGGGTCAGCCGATTTCAGGACCAAATTGCTGTTCTGGAAGGGGATAACTCACAAGAAACAAGAGTTGAAACACAGGTCAGGGTAATGATGCTTACAGAACAGAATAGTGGCACCTTAGCCAGATTACAACATTCCTCACTGATTTTAGCCAGTGATTTTGACTCATGGAAGGGGCTTCAATTAGGGGCATTTGTCCGTAGCCTTGTGTCCTTAGAATCATTAATTTAACAGTTTGAACTTGGTCTTTGACATAGTTTACTAATTTGTTTATAACACAAGGTCCAATAGTTACACAGAGGATTAACAAAGTCTCTGTGACTGTTGTTACCAAAGTTGTTAACCAAGGGAAAAAGAAAACCAACATTCAAACTAGTTTTGTTCGACCTGCATGGCTTGTTCTCGTTCTTGCAATCACTTTTAAAGCTGGCCATGTTTTGTCTGATGACCCTAGAATGGTTGCCATACGGGCAGCAGTTTTCTCTTAAAGCCAAACAGAAACCTCCCTCTTTTAAGAATAGGAAATCTAGTCTCCATTGGTTTTGTAAAACCATCTCAGCCAGGGAACTCAAGGAATCTTTTAGCTTGGAGACAGAGTCACTGAGAGTGGCTAGATTTTTGTTGATAAGTGCACTCAGGTGCCTAAAATTTTGGTCTCCAATTACTAGGCTGGACACTCCTAAAACTATTGATCCTGCCACCCAACATCTACAAAAGTATTTTGTCTCTAAGGACTGTGAACACCTCCAGGTATGATAATCTCTAGATACTCCAGTATTGGCAAGGTCAGTAGCTAGTGGTTGTATCTGGGGGCAGAGATACTAGCCAATGGACTGTAACTTTTTTTGACTGTTTAGGTTTTTGCAAGGCCCAGTTTGTCTTCCTTTAATCTGCTGGACGTACTGTATAGCATACTGTCCTGTTTTTATCTTCTTTTGTCTAATTTTTACTGGGATCTTACTTAACAGAGCACACAAAACTAGTTTAATTATCTCATAGACAGTGGCGCTGGTTATCAACATCTCACCAGTATTGTAATCAGTTATCTTCCAAATTTCAAACTGAGGATTATGAGACGTGCCCCTGAAGTCTCCATAAGGAACCCATAGGAACAAGACAATTTAGGTACATTTGGCAATCTTAAGCTTTAAGGGGTCCCTGGGGGGGGATAGCAGTCCACTTATCTGCAGGTTGATCGCTGTCAGAGGCCAGGACCTGCTTGAAGTGGGAATGATGAACCCAGGCAGGTTTCCCAGTGACTTTGACGGCGGTTGGAGTGCTGAGGACCACAGTGTAGGGGCCTTCCCCCGTGGTTTGAGAGATTCTTGGCGATGTCTCCTGATGAGGACTAGTGTTCCAGGTTCCACTGCAGGGCATTCGTCCTCGGAATGAGCTGTAGGCATAGGATGTTGTTATTGTTATAACTGATGGATGGAAGTCAGAGCTGGCTGAAGGGCCTGGAGGGACTTAATAAGATCTTGGTTAGCTAGATCAGCTAACTTTTCTTTAGAAATCTTAGGGATGAGGGGAGGAGGTCTCCCATGTAGAGCCTCAAAAGGGGAAATACCAGCAACATAGAGGGTACATCGCACATGCAAGAGGGCAAAAGGAAGGAGACTTACCCAGTTCTTGCCAGTTTCTAAGGCCATCTTAGTTATTATTGTTTTTAAAGTCTGGTTCATCCTTTCTGCTTGTCCTGAACTTTGAGGCTGGTAAGCACAATAGAGTTTCCAATCAGTCTGCAAAGCTTGGGCCAGTTTTTGAGTCATCTGAGCTATAAAAGCTGAGCCATTGTCAGACCCCATGGATAAGGGGATGCCAAATCAAGGGATGATCTCATATAAGAGCCTTTTAATTACTATCAGGGCTGATTTAGACTTAGTAGGAAAAGCTTTGACCCATCCAATGAAAGTTTCCACCATTATTAGTAAGTTCTTATACCCTTGAAGTCCAGATTTTCCCATCTCTGTAAAATCTATTTCCCAGTGTTCTCCAGGCATGATCCCACGGTAGCAAGTGGTTTTCATTTGTTGCTGTCGCTTTGGGTTCACCAATTGACATTGGGGGCATCTGAGGCTCACAGACTGGGTAAGCTTTGATAATGGGGGAGCAAAGAAATGATCTTAAAAGAGGACAGCAAGCTTTGACCTTCCCAGGTGAGTGGACCGATGGGTTTGTTGGATGAGTTCACATCCCAACGCCTCAGGGAGGAGGACTCACTTATCAGGCAGTTGGTACCCGTCCCCAGAGATATTAGGCTTTGCTTGAACTTGAGCCACCAGATGCAAGTTCTTTTGGGTGTAAATGAGCTCTGACAGAACAGGTGGAATCAGCAGTAATGTTGGAGCCACCTCAATCCTCACTGATTTTATGGCCACCTTTTGGGCGGTGGGCATCTGCCAGATTGTTTCCATATAACAGGATCATCCCCCACTTGATGGGCCTTACAGTGGATGATAGCCACTTTCCTCAGCATTCAAATGGTAGCCAACAAATCTAAAATTTGGGGAGCATTTTTGATCTTTTGCTCCCCAAAATTCAATAGACCCTGTTCTTGATAAATGGCCCCATGAACATGGGCAGTAGCAAATGCATATCTGCTATCAGTATAAATGTTTATGTCTTTACCTTCTGACAACTTGAGGGCCTCAGTGATGGCAATGAGTTCAGTCTGTTGGGCTGATGTTTTTGGCTCCAAGATTTGTTTCCATAGAATCTGAGAGTCTGTGGTAATGGTGGCTCCTACAACCCACTGACCTTGATAGATGTAACTGCTCCCATTGGAGAAGTATGATGGAACTCCGGATAGCAGCTCATCTGTCAAGTCCAGTCAGAGACCCATGAGGTAGTCAATAACCTCAATACAGTCATGCAGGGGCAAGGAAGGGTCATCATCAGGCAGCAGAGTAGCAAGATTTTAAGTTGCTGTTTCTTTGATCCAGAAGTAACACCTGATAGTGCATAACTTGGGAGTTGGACAGCCACTGTTCCGGCGGAGCCTTGATGATGGTCTCCAGTGAATGGGAGGAGACAAAGAGTTTTTGTCCAGAAGTCAACTTTTGAGCCTCCTTTACCAGGAGGTTCACTGAGGCAATCACCCATAGACAAGGTGGCCATCCGGCTGCCACGCTATCAAGCTTCTTGGAAAGATAGGCAACAGGCCTCTGCCAAAAGAGGGACTTTTTTGGGACTGACCCAGTCCCAAACTCTGGGTCAGTACTCATTTTTTTTTTATTTAAGAGGAAAAAGAGAAAAACACAAAACAAACCAAAGCGGCGTAAGGGTACACGCAATACAGAACTACAAAACAAAACAAAACAAAACAAAACAAAACAAAACAAAACAAAACAAAAAAACATAACAGTAAGAAATCACCTGCTAGTAGATTACACACTATCTTCTTGAAAATAGTTCCTCAAATCACAGTATCAAAGAACACAAGGTGGACATTCAAACAGGGAGACTGCAAACAGCTGTGTTCAATGTTCCAAAAACATTGATAAAGTCAGCTATTTAACACCCCCAAACACACTTGCTGTTATATCCGTTAGAGCTCTTTTTCTTTTTTTTTCCCTCTCTTTTTTACAACAAAATTTACACATCTTGGATTTTATTACTCCTTAGTGCTTATTACTTTCTTTGGGGGGGGGAAGAATACAGTCAAATATGGCAAAACAAAGCTGTCAGTCAATACCAAGGATAGACATAGCACATGGTGTAGAACAGAGTACAAGTTTATCAACAATGGTTATCAACGTTGTCCCTTGTTTCCTTGAAAAGAATTGTCTATCTTATTAGATATTATAAAGTTGGACAAAACAGTAGAGAACAAGACCAATAAAACTTAGGCATTGTAAATATTACAGGACTTCCAAAGAAGACAATAGTCAAACCAGAATGGGTATCTTAGTGAATCTTATTGTCTTCAAAGTAGTTGCCTATGTCTTCAAACTTGATACTATCATATAGAATGGAACAGAGTCTAGTCAGTCAAAACAAGATCGTGGGAGTACTACAGGACTTCAAAACAAGTTAATAGGAAATCGAAAAGAGTTACTATTTATATATCCT